CCGGACGAAAGCGCTGGTGCCTTGCCCAGGTCTCACCCCTCGGGTTTCGCCTGCCTCCCCTCGACCCACGATACTTCCTACCCCCACCCACAGGTGGAGGCGGGGCGCGAGTCGCGACACTAGCCCTCTGTGCCCGTCTCTGACCCTCAGACCGAGACGGGCCAGGACCCCTGGTTTGTTCGGGCTCAGACCTGGGCCTTCGTGGTATGAAGAACTTGAACGCTGCTGAGTGTGACTTAGCCTCCCTGAATTTGTCGACCACCGTCTCAACGGAGGTGCCAAACAGTTCAGAGGGCGAAACCGGGGCATCGAGAAGAAAGCCCCTTTCTTTCTTCCCGATGTCCGCCAAGTTCACCCACAACTGCCGCTCCGTCAACACCATAGCAGCCATCGCTCTGCCCATGGCCGAGGCTGCCTGCTTAGTAGCCCGGAGGGGTTTGATAAAAGTTTGTTATTCAGTTTGATAAAATCTCATCCGATTAAATGTGCTGAACCAGTGCAATGACATTTGGATAAGGAGGAATCTTATCATACATTATCAAGAACTGGATGGTAAGGTGTCATATATATGTATACTATATGTATATCAGGGCTGCTAACTCATTTCAGCTTAGAGTAAGAAATCCAGTAGGGGGGGATTCTTAAAAAAAACACAAAACCTGTCAGCAGAGTTTTGTCTGACAGTGGTGCTACTTTGTCTGAGGACTGGTACTGTTTGTATCATAAAATGACAAAATAACTGCTGCAATGGTGCAAAAAAATAAACTTTGCTAATACTAGCTTATTTCTATGTAGGATACAGAATATATTAGTTACCTATATTATTACTAACCTGAACTCAGTTAAGACACAGAGCGTAATCGTAACTCACTGACCTGCCTGCGTTCACACAATATTCAGCATGCATGGAAATAAATTACAATTAAGTTATATATTTTCCCCGATTGGTCTGAATAACTCCCTGTCTCACAGTGCTGCCTACTCTCTCTCACCAGTCAGCACACTCTCAGTGTTCTCTTTACTCCCAATGTTTTTGAAAGTGTGGCGTGAGAACAGTGCCAAATGCGTGAGAGTTGGCAGCCCTGATGTAACAGATACACTTTCTCTGGTCTGTTTGGAGATTTGAGACGTAAGGTAGAGGTGCTTTTTGAAGTGGATGTTGCAATAACAACTGTAATTTAAAAGAAGAGGGTTAGCTGAGGGTGGAAGATAGTGGCTGTAATGTGATCAGATAAATTAATGGGGATCACTGAAAGCAAAGAGCAAAAGTTTTTTTCGAGGAAAATGAAAGGAACTGGAAGGAATTTCCATCTGGCTGTAAAGATCACCATTGTAGTACAAGAAAGGAAGAAGCTGAGGAACAAGATAATGTAAGAATGTGTGTGAGAAAGTTCAGACAACATTTCAGCTGGGATGTCTTATGGAGTTATCCAATGCCAAAAACAAAGAATAGTCAAAGAGATGGGATATTTACAGAAAACCAAAATGAGAATCACAGGTGCTGACTGTGAGCAAAGTGACCAGTGGTCAGTGGTTGAAACCTGTCATATCATGTACGTTAAGTATATGTTTGCTATGTTATGTTTACTAATGTCAATTGCAAGGGTGGGTGTATATTTATACTGGCCCTAAAGAGGCCAAGATTTATACATATCTTAACTGACCTCATTGAACTGGGAACTGGACACAAGAATGAATTTCCTGACCTTCTCAACCTTTCGGAACACTCTGAGGAAGTTCAGTCTTAGCACTCCCGCCAGCTCTTCCTCAGTCCAGTTCCTTGATATCAGCTCCTCAATTAGTGCTGGATATTTGGATACGTCCTCCAGGCCTTTAGGGAATCTGTAATAATACAGGCACGCATAAACACTTGCACACATACAGATAAGGGTCACAGGCATAATCTGCATGCTTTTCTTTGTGGTTCTTGGGGATATGAATTCTTCTGAATAGATTTAAATATTGTAAAATGTGTTAACTGGTGCTGAGAGCACTACAATGTTATTGATAGCTAAAAAATTGATATGTACAATTTTTGTGTTTAAATTCAGCAGAAATCTACAAAGTTTTCAGCAGAATTCTGCAAGCATGGATTCCGTGGAGGTATGTTAGACAAATAAACAGAGCAAAGAAGTGTGTAAACAAAAATTCTGTAAAGTCAATACAGATGAGATGTAGATGAGATGTTAACTTACCCTTGTGCCCCATCAAAGTCTGCTCCAATCCCGATGCTTTCAGCTCCAATCACCTGCTTTAGATGATCAAAATGATCTAAAAAAACATACATTTCAAATTAAAGCCTAAATAAATTAAAATAAAAAAAAACAAAGAAATCTAGTGTCTTACCAGCCACAACAGAAACGTTTGCGTTATTTGAACATGCTACAAAACTGCTGTAGAAGTTCACCATGATAAGCCCGCCATTTTCCTTCTAGAAAGAAAGCAGAGTTTGTTCTTTTCAGTAAATAAAGTTTTTTATTGTCAAAACACGGGTGAAAAGTGTCATTTCCTTTACTGTCTTTCTTTCAGTAAAACTGGCATTTTGGAGATTTTTTTTTCTTTGGGAACTACGTCTAATGCAGCAAAACAAACGGAGGTCTCACCAGCAGCAGCAGCTGCTCGTCAGGTACATTGCGAATATTGTTACAGATAGCATAGGCTGAAGAGTGGCTGAAAATAACCGGAACAGTAGAATGTTTCAGCACAGCTCTGGTTGTCTCCCATGAGCTATGGGACAGATCAACCAGCATTCCCAACCTGTTCATCTCATTCACCACTGCCTGGGGAGAGACGGTTAGAGAATGATTCAGTTAATTAATTACCAGTGTAAAGCAGTTAGTTCTGATCCACTTAGCTCAATTCAACATATCAAGGTAGGTAGGGTAAATTTGTAGAACTTACACTTACACTTTTGTGCACAATATTGTAATGATATGTGACCCTGGAGCACAAAACCAGTCTTAAGTCGCTGGGGTATATTTGTAACAATAGCCAAAAATACATTGTATGGGTCAAAATTATTGATTTTCATTTTTATGCCAAAAATCATTAGGATATTAAGTAAAGATCATGTTCCATGAAGATATTTTGTAAATGTCCTACTGTAGATATATCAAAACTTAATTTTTGATTAGTAATATGCATTGCTAAGAACTTAATTTGGACAACTTTAAACTTGATTTTTTTTGCAGTCAAGATTCCAGATTTTCAAATAGTTGTATCTCTGCCAAATATTGTCCTATCCTAACAAACTATACATCAATGGAAAGCTTATTTATTCAGATGAAATTGACCCTTATGACGTTTTGTGGTCCAGGGTCACATATATGTTGGATAGATGTCTTTTATATGTTATGGGTACAAATTTGTCAGCAATTTTAACACATGTATGCTTCAGATTTTTTTTCTCAAAGGTAATGATGATCTACTGTGCAAACAGGATATAAAAATCACCATCTTGAATATTTTAGTAACTCCAGGATCAAATCCATTTTTATCTTTGAACATTCAGCATTTTTTGTCTCTAGACTTTGGGTTCAAAAAGGGGACACAAGACGGGGATTTCCAAATATAGACGAGAACGAAAGAGGCCTTTAATACCGGGTCAAATTCCCCACTAAATACAAGTGTAACTTTGGTTCAACTATCTTGAATTTAACTTTATCTTCTTACATGATCTTAATCCACATCTGTTGTACATTTTTTATTGACCACTGATTCATCAAGAAAAACTTACCTTGCCAAAATCTGTCAGGCTGTTATTCTTCTGCTGGTAATATGTGTAATAACTTGATGAGCTCTCAGCCCTACACATTACATTATTGGAGAAAGTTGGATAAATTAACTATATGAAATGGACCAATAAAAATTCAGGGACAGTATGCAGTATAAATTGTATTTGTGCTCCTCTCTCAATTCAGTATTAAAACTTGTTTGTTTAAATGCACAGATTATTATTATTAGCTTATGCTGTACATGTATGGTGAGTATTTACCATGGGGTGTTGCAGTTGTGTGTGAGGGCCATGGATCTTACTCCAAGCTGGTAGAACATGCGTAGTGCTGCTAAACTGCTGTCGATGGAGTGACCTCCCTCTATACTGATTAGACATGCGATTTTTGTACTAGTCCTCATTCCTTAAACACACACAAATGTTTTGTTTATTAATAGTTTAAAGACACAAATATATAAAACGATGTGTAGTCCTTTTTTTCCCTCTTCTCTCCACAACAGTAATAATCTGAGCACAATGGACATTAGTGCCTTTATATCTCCCTGTAAAATGAAGTGAACAGTCAGTGTGCAATGATCATGGCTGAGTACAACTGTAGCTGTTTCTAAGCCAGGCACTTGTCATTTGGCTGAAACCACCTGACATTGTTCAATCTCCAAAAAAAAAAAAAAAAACACGTCTAATATGTTATGTTGCACAACATCAATACCAGGTACTACCCTTATTTCACAAAGAACTCTTGCAGACACTTCTATAAACTACTGTTCAAACGCTTGGGGTCAGTAAGTTTTTGTTTTGTTTTTTTAATTCAGCTAGCATTCAGTGACATTCATCATGCACTAAACCGATCATAAGTAATAGTTTCTAATAAACATCTATTAATTTAAAACAATTTCCAATATACACTGTTCTTTTGAACTTTCTATTCATCAAAGAATCCTGAAAACAACGTATCATGGTTTTCACAAAAATATTAAGCAGCACAACTGTTTTCAACATTGATAATAACAAGAAATGCTACATTTTGTTACATTTTATGCAACACGACACATGCTCCATTTTAAAATATATTAAAATAGAAAACAGTTGTTTAAATTGCCATAATATTTAGCAATACTACTGTTTTACTTGTTTTGATCCAATAAATGCAACCTTGGTGAGCATAAATAGACTTACTTTCAAAAACATTAAAATATCAACCCCAAACTTTTGGACGGTAGTGTATGATATGTGAAATGCAGTCTAGATGTTTGACAGTGTTACGTATGGAAAGCATTAGTCCAATCATGTTGAGTGAGATATCCTCAGGCAGGTAGTTGTGAGATTGCATAGTCTCTTCTCCATTCACTTTGGATATGGACTTCCAAAGGAACTTTCATGCCATTAAGATTTTTATTTTCAAACTTTCCCTGAAGAGACTAAAAGTTTTATCATCAATTACTCACTCTCATGAGATTCTAAACCTGCATGACTCTTTGGTGGAACATGAAAATAGATATTCTGAAGAATGTTGGCAACCCAACAGTTTTGGTGACCATTGACTTGCAATGTATGGTAAAAAAAAAAAAATACAATTTCTCCAAATACCATTTTATATTCCACAGTAGAAAGTAGTCACGATAAATGATTATAGAATTTAAATTTTTGTGTGAACTTTCCCTCAAAGCAACAAACTGCTAGAAGATACATGGTATGATTGACAGGGTAAAGCCTCTGTTCAACTGGCAGGAACAACACTTTTCACTTTTTCATTGATTATGATTAACACATTGAGAAATAAAAGACAGAAGCAATCAGTCATTGGAAGACAAAACTGTAACAAATGTCATAGTCTTCTACTAGCAATAGATCTCCCTCAAAATCTCAAAAATGTGCTTGTTTTGAAATAGAATTTGAGATGACAAACCTATAAACGTTAATATTACAGCAAAAGGATATTACATTAATTCCCTAAACTGTTCAGTATAAAGTTGAAAACTTCAAAACAGGCCCAGAACTAAAATCAAATCGCTGAGAGTGCTTCTTAAATTAGTGACGGTGCTTTAACCTTAAAATAAAGGTTTTAGTGCCGTCCATCGCTATTGCGCAAAGAACGCTCTGATTATAATCACTAAAAGCTGTCATGCATCTTAGTTTATCGCGATCTCACAAAGTTATGTTATAATCAAGGAAGGTCTCTATGTTGCACAATGAATCTCTTATTTACACTGCGCCTACACTTTGTTATAATGAGAAGATTCGTACTGAACACAATACCTGCAAAAACTCCGGTGATTTGAGCAGTGAGTGGATTCTTAAAAGCATCTGATTAACTGTTGTGTACAAGAAATAAACGGATATGTCTGTGACTTGCTATTACTCAACGCTGCAAAACACGTTGAAATAGAAACCGATCTTGCGCAAACCATAACGCACTGGATAGTTTGCCAAATCTGCAATGAAATGCCATTATTACAGCTTTAACTGAGGGTGCTATTGATTTCCTTTGAGCACCCCTGTAGAACCAGGCCTGCTTCAAAATGTTCAGTCACAGAAAAGTGAAATGACTTGGTCTAGTGGAGGTTGGGGTGCAATAGTACCTTCAGCTGTGGTGACCAGTTCCATCTCTGGGTTTTCAGTACACATACGACGAATTACATCAATCTGTTCCAAGGTCAGTCTGACAGCATCTTTGTCCTGAGCTGTGCACAACACGTACGCCGCAAAAACCTAACAAATTTCAAGGACTTATTTATCTCTAATCATGCACAAAATAACCAAAACAGCAAACTGGCCACTCACTTGTGGGTCCAAAATATCTAAGAAAGATGGCAATGTTTGGCAGAAATTAGCAGTTTCAGTGAAATTCAGTGACTTATTAAAGAAATTATTAGAAGAGGAAAGTGGACTTTAAGATAATGGTTAAAGATAATCATAAATTGCTCATGGAACCACACAATATTAGCTGTGTGCGAATTTGGGGCAGAACAAGCTTGTTCTTCAGGCCCAGCACTTGATCTACACAATATACAGTATACACAAATAGGTTTGTGACTTCATTTTTACAAATGGTTAAAGATTCAGATTATACTCAAGATCAGCCAGGAGAAATTACCTGTCCTCCAACATGGCCAGCAGTGAGGCGACTAATATCTGTAGCCACCCTAGGATTGTGGTGCATATTGAAAGTGCTCAGTTTGTTATTATGGTGCATTCTCAGACGTAATGCCAGGTCATTGTGTCTGAGTAAAGAGAAAGAGAAGCAGTGTGAAATTTTAAACCATTTTTATTGGAGTTGGTGCAACTACAACCTTCTCTGAAGCCATTTACTGTCAGTATTCTCAGCTATATAATATTATAAACCAGTTATGTTTAAAGCACAGATTACAAATAAAAATGAATGATGTGTAAATGAATGAAAGTGAAAAGTAAGTCATACCCATCAATCAGTGGATATTTTGTCATTATATCCAGTGCTCTACTGGTTTCGGATATCACTCCATGAAGTGAGAGAAGGGTGCATACGAACCACCATATCCATGCACCTCTGATGCCTGCTTTTTTATATATTAACATCCTATGATGCTGATAAAAAAAAGTCAAAGGATTTGCTCTAATAAAATATAGTCAGAAATTGGAAGCAACTGGCCAAACATATAATATATAGTATATAGTGAAATATGATATATTATATATATATATATATATATATATATATATATATATATATATTATATGTTTGGCCAGTATATATATATATATACTACATCAGATTTCACTATGAACTATAAAGAAATTAAGAAATCAAGAGATATTTCATATAAATCTTTATGACAAGAATAGTTCAAGAACTAGTTCAATAACTGAGAAGCTGATTTTAAATTCAAGAAAGAAATGAAATGGATGAAGGGGAGACCCAGGCTATTCGTCAAATAGAGAGGTTGTCACAATATTTTAGAGCCTAATATAATTTTTTTAATTTAAAGGTTGTTTTCGTTTCAAAAGTGCCCTTTATTTGTTTCCATTATTTTAAATACAGGATATATCCTGTATCCTGGCAACAGCATATAGTCAGCAAAACCCACAGGCCACGTTTCTATTATTATTATTAATTTCATACACTTCACTGATGTAAGATCTGTATCTTTTGCCAAAAACGTCGACCTGTGGTATCTTTTTAATGTTTTACTAACATGAAAATGTTATTGAGCATACAGCTTAAACACACTATTTTATCTATCAAGCAACTGTAGTGTGAACACGCCTCGCTATGAGAGCATTTAATTAACTATATTTTATTTCTTGGACTAAAGATGTTCAACATGTATGTAATATGGGCAACAAAACCAGTAATAAGGGTCCATTTTTTTTAAAATTGAGATTTATACGTCATATGAAAGCTGAATAAATAAGCTTTTCATTGACGTATGGTTTATTAGGGGAAAAAAATAATCTAAATACTGAGAAAAAATCGCCTTTAAAGTTGTCCAAATGACGTTCTTAGCAATGCAAATTACTAAACTTAATTTTTGATTTGATATAATTACGGTAGGAACTTTACAAAATATCTTAATGGAACATGATCTTTACTTAAAATCCTAATGATTTTTGGCATAAAAGAAAAACCGTTCATTTTGACCCATACAATGTATTTTTGGCTATTGCTACAAGTATACCCCAGCGACTTCAGACTGGTTTTGTGCTCCAGGGTCACGCAAAATCGCCTTTAAAGTTGTCCAAATGACGTTCTTAGCAATGCAAATTACTAAACTTAATTTTTGATTTGATATAATTACGGTAGGAACTTTACAAAATATCTTAATGGAACATGATCTTTACTTAAAATCCTAATGATTTTTGGCATAAAAGAAAAACCGTTCATTTTGACCCATACAATGTATTTTTGGCTATTGCTACAAATATACCCCAGCGACTTCAGACTGGTTTTGTGCTCCAGGGTCACGTATATATACGTGTACGTATGTCTTACCTAACTGTATATCTAACTGTCTAAACACCGGGAGAAAAAAAGTAGTGAATAACAAAAATTGTTAGAAATCCGGATCTCCCCTACTCCGTTATGTCAAATAGTATCAAGCACGCCTGAAATGTCCGTCTGTAAAATACACAGTATAGCCTATTATAAATAGACTACCATTATTACTCACCGCGTCAGGAGGCTTGCTCTAAAGTTGGCTACTCGTGAACGTGAAGAGATGTTTATGCTGTGTGGAGTAATCTGTTACTCTGTGCGGAATTTGCCCATGTGTTGTTCTACAGAGTATGTCTCGGTTTAAAACGTTTTCTGCTTTGCCCTTCGGAGAAGTGTCGCCCTCTTCCGCGAGGTCTTCGTAGGCACATAAACATGAACTGTACCCTAATTGGAAGCACATGTAAAAAACACTGGCCTTCGGAAAAACAAATGTTCTGTTTGACTTTGTCACACGCTTTAACATGTTAGATAAATGAATTGGTTTCATATAGGCTACATATAACGTAAAAAAAATGTCAAAGATTAAAAAGTTGTCATGTCCTCAGAAAACACAATGTATGATGAGTCAAAAGTTATAGAATAATTCAAAAAATGCGCTTAAAAGTGAAAAAAAGTCTAAAAATTACATTAAAAATATTAAATAGATAATGCGAAACCACAATGTAACATGCTGACTATCTTTTAAAAAGTGGTCTACAACAGAACTTCAGCTTAAATTTGTGACCAATGTCAATTTACAAATCCATCTCAATATAGCCAACACACAAATTAGGCTATATGAATTTTCCACAACAAACAAAAATACACTTTTGCTTGGCTGTAACAGGTAGCTGTTTTTATGAGGAAAATCATTTCTTCAGTTATTCTGCTAGAGCTTAGTTATATAAAGAAATATACTAAACATTGTATTTTTCTTTTCAGATCTTCTTAGCACTTTAAAACTGTTAACCTTGCACTTGCACACTACCATCAAGAAATTCAAAGGGAAAGGCAGACTATGCCTTATAGTGTTAATAATAACACTTCCTTCAAATGTATTTGTGATCAAACAACTTGAACTGATAGTTTCATTCTTTCTTTCTTTTTTTGGTCTCAGTGAGCTGTCAGGAAAGGCACTAAGAAATGCAGTCAGTGGCACATTCTTATTTTGTTTCGAAACCTTTAGAATTGACTACTCTGTTAGGGCTACCTGATGAAACATCTCTTCATCCTGGTGTACCTGAAAACCAGTAAATGGATAATGACAATCAGACAAAAATGTGAATTTTTAGCTAAATATTTTTAACTATGGCAACAATTTTTATGGTAAATAAGTCATGGCATAATATGGTAACTATTTCAATAGAAAACAATTTATATGGACAATGTAGATTGTCACTTTATTACCTGTGAGTCGTCTGCCTGCAGGAGAAAAATCATATTAGAAGAGTGCACAAATGATTGGAGCTCTGTTTGTATTTGGCACAGCAGCTGGGCCCGAGCTGAGTGACAGTGATGCCCCCTCCTGCTCATTTCTGCTATATGACTGCCACTTCTATTTACAGACATCCTACATGTGGGACATGACATATCCTGCTCTAGCCAGGAATGCAAGCATGACCTGAAAACACACGGGTACCAGCATCTTGGAGACCATTTAAAGAGATTTCCTAGGAAAATGTCTGATATATTTCCACAGCAAAGCATAATACTTTATTATAGTCACCCATTTAGCTCAGTGCTGCATGACAGATTAGATTCACATACTGTAGAGGACTTAGCCATCATCTAGGGTGAATAAGTAATTTCTTGTAACTAATAAATCCTGCTCTATCTGTAATGTGGTCATTTTCATACTTGTGGAAAAGGTGCCCACAGGGCAGTTTGTATGCTGTGTACATCTTTTCCAAGCAGATAGCACATCTGTCATCATGAGACGCCAGCTCTTCCATTGTAGCCATAGAAAACCTGCCAAGAGACATTATGATATAGGAGGCCCATCTTTTCTCTCTTCATTACTGCAAATTGCCAAAACAGAGGGCACATATAACAGCTGTTACCTTACTCATGTACACAAATAAACCAGCATACAGCATAATACACTACAGGGAAAAACAGAGTTTGAGAAACTTAAACTGATATTTCAGGAAATTCAGGTTCACTATAAGTAGCATTATTAACTATTATTTGAACCTTTTTACAGACTGTGACGCATTTCCACATTTATCAATAGTAATAAAACAACTAAATGTTCCTCTTTCAATGGTTCATAATTAATATAATTAATAAAATATTTTTAAAATAAAAGTAAAAAAAAACATGATTTGTCTCACCAACATGTGGATATGATGCATCATATTTAGGAAAAGAATACCTATCTCCATGACAATGTTCCTCTTTCAATGGTTCATAATTAATATAATTAATAAAATATTTTTAAAATAAAAGTAAAAAAACATGATTTGTCTCACCAACATGTGGATATGATGCATCATATTTAGGAAAAGAATACCTATCTCCATGAAGTCTGTGTAATAAATACAGGCCTCTTTATCTTCCCAGGAACCTTCACAGATCAGATCATACAGGTGAATTATGTACCTGAACAAAGGGAGATGTCATTTATAGCAGGCACTGCTATCTGTTCAGAGGTGTTTTTAATCAGTGAGATGACTATCAGGTGTCAGTGTGTGCTCTGTTTTATTTAAAGAACAGGGATCTATCAAAGTCTGATCATGTTTGTGGAAGTGTATCATGGCATGAACAAAGGAGATCTCTGAGGACCTCAGAAAAAAAGAGTTGCTGTTGCTCATCAGGCTAGAAAAGGTTTACAAAAACATCTCTAAAGAGTTTGGACTCCACCAATCCACAGTCAGACAGATTGTGTAGAAATGGAGGAGATTCAAGACCACTGTAACCCTCCCCAGGAGTACTCCACCAACAAAGATCACTCCAAAAGCAATACTTGTAATAGTCTGTAAGGTTGCAAAGGAACCCAGGGTAACTTCTAAGCAACTAAAGACCTTTCTCACATTGGCTAATGTTAATGTTCATGAGTCCACCATCAGGAGAACACTGAACAACCACGGTGTGCATGGTGCATCCAAAAAGAACATTGCTGCCATTCTGCAGTTTGCTAAAGATCATGCGGACAAGCCACTACTGGATCCGGCTACTGGAGAAATGTTTTGTGGACAGATGAGACCAAAATAGAACTTTTTGGTTTAAATGAGAAGTGTTATGTTTGAAGAAAAGAACACACTGCATTCCAGCATAAGAACCTCATCCCATCTGTGAAACATGGTGGTGCTGGTATCATGGTTTGGGCCTGTTTTACTGCATCTGGACCAGGACGGTTTGCCATCATTGATGGAACAATGAATTATAAATATGTCCGGACATCTGTCAGTGAACTAATTCTCAAGAGAAAGTGGGTCATGCAGCAAGACAACGACCCCAAGCACACAAGTTGTTCTACCAAAGAATGGTTAAAGAAGAACAAAGCAAATGTTTCGTAATGGTCAAGTCAAAATCTGGACCTTGGAGTCTGGATCTGGAAGCAAGTAGTTCATAGGAGGAAACCCACCAACATCACAGAGGTGAAGCGGTTCTGTACTGAGGAATGGTCTAAAACTCCTTCAAGATGTTGTGCAGGACTGATCAGCAGTTACAAGAAACACAAGATCAGATCAGATACTGAAAGCAAAGATTTGCATACTTTTGCCACTCACAGATATGTAACACTGGATTGTTTTTCTCAATTAATAAATGGCAAAGAAAATATTTTTGTCTCATTTGTTTGTTTGGGTTCTCTTTGTCTACTTTCAGGACTTATGTGAAATTTTGATAATGTTTTGAGTCATATTTATGCAGAAATATAGAAAATTCTAAAGGGTTCACAAACTTTCAAGCAGCACTGTATAAGGTATTATGTATCCTAAAAATGCATAGAACAATGGCATTCCAGTCACTTCTTATGGGTCTTTATATCAATCTGTACTGTACTTGAGTTCTGTTAAAACCAAATATTTACTTATGAATAATTCTATCATATTTATGAATACAAAAATATTTATGAATCTAAGCAATTCTATTTATGAATAATAATAAGCCAATCAACCATACAAATTCAACTTTCCTTACTTACAAAAGAATTGCATGGCTCATATATACAGTACCATAAGGCACTGTAAAAACAATGACTTTTTAAGTATTTGTACACGTGAAATCAAGTACTATATAAGTTTGTTTTTAAATGCATACAGACTTAAGATACACACATACAAACAGGTTCACATGCACACACATTCAAACTTACTTCAACTGCCATAAAGGAGAGAGTGTGCATACCATGGGAAAACCCCAGCAGGCCACATAATACAGTGAGAACCCCAGAGGACACAAACAAACACATCAGCATGAACAACACACGCATATGGCTGCCCAGAGTCGAGGTGGAGGATGACGAGATCTATGCAACAAAAACACACAATATCATAGATTACATTGAATGCATAATGTAGCACTAAAAAAGGAAATGACAGTGATGCACAACAAAATGCAGTTTTATGACCTCTTTAACCTCACCATTGCTGTCTAGGTTAAAACACTTACATGAGGAATGATACTGATTTGAAATCATAATCTTGTCTAATGCTTAAACTGAAAATTATTTTAGTAAACACGTGGGGATTCAAGGACTAATGCTATTTATAATGTTAATCCTGAAATTGATATGGACTTGGGTGGTCACATGGTAGGCCATCTGTGTTTTCCACAGTTTCCAGGCACTGGATTTCTCTCTCTGAGTATTGGATATCTGGATATTAAGTGAAAATATTTTTACTTACATACTCAAAACGATCTTTGCAGAGCTGGGCCAACAGCTGGAGAAAAAGAAGTGTACAGTAGAGAACCAAAGACACCACATGGCCAGCTCCCTCTCTGACTGCACATTCAGCACACCAAAGAGAAAAATGAACTTGTAGAACAGAAAGTTCCAGATTTTGTCCTTGAGGTTCTTATAGCAGGAATGTCAAGAACATAAATGAACATACAGATGGGTTCATTAGTCATACATTGCTATGTCTAGATATGGAGAAACACACTGAAACGTAATTAATTCCTTATATTAAATTTTATCTGTTTTTCATTTATTCTAAGATCACCAAACACAACAAGCTGGACACATTTTGCCATCAGCAGGAGAAAACAGCACAGTGTTCACAAGGACCTGAGGAGATTAACAATGTACAGTAGCTGCACTAATGTACATTTGCTTTAATGATACTAAACATCTAAAACCTAATATGCAGTATACAGCGTTCATATACATATGAAACACC